TATAAGGAAAAGCCAGAATTGGTAATTATGATTGGCTTAATATTTATAGACAAAATAATAAGAATTACAATTATTTGTGTAGCAAACCAAATATTTAAAAAATAGAATTTAGAAAAAATTCCAAAAGCAAATTAATGTTAAACAAACTTAATGTAATATTTAAATAATTAAATTAGATTTATTGGTTGACACTCTTAGTTAGAAGGTGTGTTAATTATTTCAAAAATTTAACTTGAATGAACGTAATTTAGAATACACAAAGAAAGATGAATTATAAAGATTAAGTTAAAGAATCAAAGCAGATTAAGAGAAACAAAACTTATTGTTTTAATCTTAACTTAAAGTCAAAGAATTATATTCACAATAAGTATCTAATTATTTGGATCTCAATAATAAATTTTAAATGAATAAAAATGTAATAATCAAAATTATTATTTATAGATGATAAATTCAATTTAGAAAAAAGAAGCTCTTACATATAGTAGATAGACAAAAGAATTAATAAATTTATTACATGAAAATAAATCAGATCAAGTTTAACCAAAATCTGTTTCTATTAAATCTATTTCTTTTAACACACATAATTAAATCATTATTGAAAAATTATTTATAGAATAAGAATTTTATTAAAAATTGGAGCAATTTTTAGAATTTTAAAAATCTATAAAATTAGATGAAAATATTGATAAAACAGATTATTATGAATCTTTGTTTTAATGTTTTGTTAATATCTAAAGTGATCATAAAGATATAATGAGATTATTGTCTCTATAATTTAAAGGAATATAATTTCAATCTGATACAATCTAAAAGGATCTTCTCTAGAATTCAATAAGATTATTAGAAACAGAAATGAGTAAAAGAATAGGTGTTTTGGATTTAGCTAATATTAATTGTATTTTATATTTTATTATATTTAGAGAAATTTAAAGATATTTACTATGATATATTAATTAAAGGTCTAAATATTCAAAGAATAGGTTAATATTATCCAAGTGGAATCTTATTCTTATTAATGAGATGTGGATAATTAAAATAAGCAAAATCAATTATGTTTTAATTTGCTAAACATTAAAAATATTAATTATTTTTTGAACTTTTGGAAAATAGGAAGTAATTTTATTTTAAATATTTAGTTAAACAAATCATTAAAAAATAAAAATGCTTGATTAATTTTGTGATGATGATTTATTTGAATAATGTTATTTGATTGCTTTTGATTCAGGATCAGTATCATAAGTCTTTGAAAATCAACATTTTCCATAAGATTAAGATTTATTCTTTTGGATGACTCTAAAAACAACTCATATCTTAAATGAAGATGAAGGTGATAATTGGACATTATATGATTTATAAGATGCAATTCCAAGAAATATTGGTTATAAAATGGATATACTTTTGTAAAGATATGAAGAAGTTTTAAAAGAAATATACAATTCATCAGCTTCTTTAGTTTCTAAATTAGAATACTTCACATTATTCTTTATTGTTCAATCTCTCTTAGGAATATAAAATGAAAGTACAATATTAGAATTGAATTTAATTTTAAATGGAATTTTAGGATAAGTATTTGAAAAATACCCAGATATTGGAGGATTATTAATAATACTTACTGAACCTAATTTATCATAAGCAATTGATAAAATTTAGGCAGAAATGATAAAATATAAATATGGAGTTGAAGTATTTTAGAATAAAAAATTCTTTGAAAATTTTGAAAATATGTTTGGAGATAATCAAAGAACACAAGATTTTATTGAATCTATAGTATAAGAACAGTTTTAATAAAATCTTCTTGAATATCATAAGGATTTTATTGAAAATATATTAAAAGGAAATAATATAGTAAAATATATACATATAATTAGAATGAATTACTTACAGCACATAAAGCATTTATTAGCAATATAGATATGAGGATGGAAGATCTTAAGAGTTATTTAGAATTCAGAAAAACAGGATTTACACATTTAGCTATGAATTTATACTATATATCTGGTATAATATTATTGACAACTGAATGTTAATTCAATTTGAGGGCTCAAGAATTAAAATTTATTTAAAGTGCTACACCTAAATTTCTTGTTAAAAACAATAACAATCCTAAATAATATTATAATCTATTTTCAACAATATATTAGATTGCTATGTCCAATAATAGAGAAAAGCAAACTTTTGATTTGTTGTAGGCTTTTAACTTTTTGATTCAATCAAGTAAAATTGAACAATTCAATGAAAATAAATTTAAATAATATTTACTTTAAATTGATATTTCAAAATTAACAAAGATTTTATTAACTAATAAATAGTTATATTTATTGAAACTATTTTTTTGGATGATAGATATAACACTTGAGATACATGATAAAAAGATAGATGAATATAAGTATATATACATAATATTTACAATAGAAATATGAAAGAAACATATTAAAGACTGATAAATAATAAATCATATCAAAATATTGTTCTAAACTCTTTATTTTTAATAAACAAAGAAGTAGATTTACATTTTTAAGATTTTAAATTAATGCCAAAATGAATATTATATTGATATTTTAGTCATTTTTAAGTAGTAAAATATTATTGTTTTATAATAATCTAAAATTTACATTTTTAATCTTTAAATATAAAATGTTTAAGAAAAAAAGAATATTATTATAATAATAATAATAAAAAATGATATATGAATGTATATAATTATCATACTCAAACTATTAAGTTTTAGTATTTTCAATTATAATAAGATTTTTTATCAAAATTAAAACTATTATTTAAAGTACTTTTTTGATTTGTACTCTTATTATTATTTTCTTATTTGATAACTTTTGATCTTTTATTAACAGAATTACTAGTTTTAGTGGAAGTAGGTATTTCATACAATCTAGAATTCTATCTAAAGTTATTTTGTAATTGCCATAATTAACTAGTAGGTTTTTAATTACAATCAATCATTAATTTTTTTTGATAATTTGTTAAATCAAATAAATCTTTAGTTGTATGTTTACTATTACTTTTTTTACGTTCTTCAGGTTATTTAGTACTATAATTATTAATACTGACATATTCAAAAGAAGAATTAACTTATTTAGATTGTAAACTTTTCTTTTATTTTGATTTAGATTATGGTGAGACAGAATCTCTTTAAACACCAGTCTTACTTTTATTATGTTCAGAAGTTTAATGATTAGTAGGAGTCTTTTTAGGAACATGATAAGATATTGATTTAGGTCTCTCTAAAGTTTCATCAACAGATTAAAGTGATATAATTTGTGTGACATCAGTTGGTATAGCAAATTTTTATTATGGATTGATAGGTTAGTATTTCATTTTATGTGCATAATTAACAAGCATTTAAGTTTGGTCATCACTAATGGCTTATGGAACACTCTTGCCTCTATTTTAAGAATTATTATTAGTTTATCCATTCTATTATACTGAACCAGATCTATTTTATTTAAAGATGGAAGTAGCAACAATATTAGACATAGGAGCTAAAGAGATATTATGATAAATTATTACGTTTTTTAGGTCTTTATTTAGGTTCCAATAAGGATTCTTCAAAAACATTACTATTAATATCAGCTTTTGATTGGATTCCATTGATTAAATTACGTTTTAATGCTAAATAGTAAGCAGTTGTAACATCATTATGTTTGTTGGCATCCAAACATTTAATAATATATTCTTTATCATATCCTTATTAAGATAAAGAGTCAACAACAGAATCATCTATAGGCATTCTATTATATCCAACTATTATTCCTGGTGAGATTTTTGATTAAGTTTAGTAAAGATTAAACCATGGATGAGCTTTCATTTGTTCAACGGTAATTCTCTTTTTTGGATCAGTTGTTAAAACTGCTTTGATGAAATTGGCTCCTTCATTAGAGACAAATTTAGGTATCTAATATTCACCATTAAGTATTTTTTTATAGAGTGCTGAAGTATTTTGATCCTAGAATAACTATATTTAAATAATACTTCAAAGGGCAAATATCCACAAATACTAGCAAATAATATGACTCCACTACTCCAAATATCAACCATCAAACAATCATATTTCTAACCAGCTATCATTTCTGGAGCTGCATAACAAGGACTACCACATGCTGTTTTAAGTAATTCACCTTTTTTATATGTGTTGCCTAATCCAAAATCTACAATTTTTATAGAATTATTGAAGTCTAAAAGTAGATTTTCTGGCTTTAGGTCTCGATGTACAATACAGAGTTTATGTAAGTATTCAATACCTGATATCAGTTATTGATAAAATTTGCAAGCCTCAATTTCTTAAAGTCGTTAATGTTTGACTATATATTCAAAAAGCTCTCCTCCATTTGCAAATTCCATCACTATAAAGATATGCTTAGGTGTTTCAATTATCTACATTTTGAATGAAAATGCATACTTCGTACAATTGAATTACATGTTTATGTCTTATCAATTTCAAGATGTGTATTTCTCTAGAGACTCTTTCTACATCTGCAACTTCTACTATTCTCTCCTTTTCCAATATTTTTATTGCCACTTTCTCCTATGATTTCAAATGAACTGCCAGCTTCACTTTTCCAAAAGTACCTTCTCCCAATGTTTTAACTGGTTATTAACATAATTTCAATACTAAGCTAATAATTCCCAATTATCCTTCTGTTATTGAGCCTAATACCGTTCTTATTCTCTTTGTCTGACTCATTCATTTTACTTAACTATAAAATTATTTATATTAATAATATCGTTAATAATACACAAAATTTTGTATTCCATTTAATCAAATACTTCTTTCCAACTTCCTATCTCTTTTCAAATATTTAAAAAACCTCTACTTTCTATCTTTCTTATAAAATAAATTATCTTTCATTTTATTTCATTATTTTATCCATGTCCTTATACTATAATACAACTATATTCAATATAATAATAATCATATAAAATTAAGCAATATGGAATCTAAGCTATTATTAATTATATTTTTAGTGTTATTAATTTAGAATATTTAGATGTAAGACAATGTATTAGACTTCATAATTACTGTATCTCAATCATAAAAGAGTGAATAAACAGTTTATTATCAACTTAAGTAAAAATAATTCTCTATTTATATAAGCTTTTTCAATCAAAAAAATCAACTAATCTTCTATAATCAATAAAGATATTCAGAACTTAAAAAGTTTCATGAAGCACTTGAGACACTCAAAATTACATTACCTATATTTCCTGGTACTCATTGGTGGAAATCAGTCAATTCAGATCCAGATTTGATTGAAGAACGTAAGCAATTGCTTGATCAATATTTCAGAAGTCTCACTAGTTCTAAAATTGTTAGAGATTCTTTAATTTTTAAGAACTTCATCTTATCTGCCTAAAAAGAAGCAGAAAAGAGAGTACTTAAAGTAATATACTTTTTATTCATATTAATAGGAGTAAAAAGAAAAGACTAAGAAAGCTGAAGGTTTTGCTAACTAAAATAAAAGAAAAGTTAAAACTACTAAATATTAAACACCTGCCACTAATCCAGTCAATCTACCTCCAACTCCTGGAGAATTGAAAGAAAGATCATAATCTTTAGAACATAAACCATCAAGTAGTAAAATTGAAAAAGAAAATAGTAAAGGAAGTAAATTTCAATCACCAGTAACTAATAATTATTATATATAAATTAGATTCTGAATTTTGGAGGATCAAAAATCTTTAGAGGCATCTTATCAAACACTGCTAAACAATGACGAATTAATTTTAAAATTTATTGTTTTTATATAATTGATATGCAAAAGAATATTACATTTGCATATTTATTTATTTGTATAAAACATTCTATTACATAGAGAAATTAAAAGCAATTAAAATAACTATTCTCTTATTTCTCAATTATCTTAATAATCATAAATAATATACATTAGTGAGTAATTGATAAAAATTATACATCTATTTATTAATATAAATTAAAAATTTTTGGAATTTCCTTAATAGATATATTTTATTTATAATAATGTTTATATTATACTAAAGAATTAATCAATAGTAGATTATCTCTAAGGTATTTAGTATATAATTAATTAATAATTATTTAAACTAAAAATTTATAAAAAAAATAAAATAAAATTTAAAATCATCTCAAACTTGATCGCAAAATTACATATTTATTAGATTGATAAAACTAATCAACTAATTAAAACAACATTAATGAAAATAAAGAGAAATAGAGAACATAGATAATAGATTACTAATTTATTTTGATAAATTAATAACGGCTAAACCATTTTTTATGTTATATTAGCATAAGATGAGATATTTGAATGTAGTAAGATTAAATGCTTATTGAGTATTATTATTTACAATGTAATAAATGTTAATTCCTACATCATCTGGACATACTTCATTAGCAAACAATGCAAATATTCTCTATGAATGCATTGTAGAGAGACATCATTTTTTCTTGAATAGAAAATATTACTTACAATTAACAAATTAATGTCTCACTCTAAGTTAAGTAAATAAATTTAGTAATTATATATAGAAACAAGACCAGTAGAATCCAAAATATATCTATTAATTAAAGATTGACAAAGTATTCACTTGGTCTCTTTAAAACAATTAAATTGTTGGATTTTAGCTACCATATTAAGATAAAATTAAAGACTTTTTTGGAAATCCTAATGATATGGTGAACCTTAAATCAAAGATGGGTGCTTTGGTGTGTTATTAAAAAATTGAATTGTTTTACAAAAAGGAAGAAATCCTTTAAACTGGTTCTTTTGGAAAGGTTTTTATTTCAAAATATTTTAAAGGTCACAAAGGAAATATGTAGATTTACATCAAATCGTGTTGCTATAAAAAGTATTAAATGTTAAAACAATCAAAGTCCAGCCATTAAAAATGAAATTGAAATACTCAAAAGACTCAAATAAACAAATACATTAAATATCTTAGAAATAAAAGAAGTATACAAAGATGAACACAATTATTATATTGTTACTGAATACTTACCTGGATCTAATCTAAAATAACATCTTGAACGTAGAAATAAGCCCTTTTTAATGTAAGAAGCTTTGTGTATAGTGGAAGTAATGTTTAAATTTATTTTAGTCACTCTTAAAAGGATTATAAGGCATTCATTAAAATGGTATAATTCATAGAGATCTCAAACCAGCAAATTTAATGTATCACAATAATTAAATCAAAATAATTGATTTCGGTTTATCTTGTTTTAATGGTAAATAACTTGAATAATATCCTTCTTGTGGTACTGCTGGATATTCTGCACCAGAAGTACTTAATGTTTGGAATAAAAAACAAGCTTATGATTATAAAGTAGATATTTTTAGTGTTGGATGCATTCTATATCAATTATTGACTTTAGATGGATTATTCAATAGTGAAAATGAAAAGGCAACTTATAGAAATAATAAAAAATGTTAATTCACAATTAAGGAAAAGGGTTCAGTTTTTGATTTAGTATAACTCTTTGTCAAAGCAGAACCACAATAAAGATTAGATTGTAGTTAAGCTATGGAAGCTGTTTAAGCTTTACATGATTATAAATATTTTGATGTGAATACATGGTACAACAACAAAGTAAAATATAATTAGAAAGGGAGATCTCAATGTGAATTAAATTAGGAACCTTAAACTAAATTATCAAGATAATGTAGTCTGACTAATTTTAAATATAATGAACCTTAGACTTAGACTTAGACTGAAAGATAAAGAAATTAACCAAAAAAAATTGAATAAAATTGAATATTGGTTTTTTGTTTATTTGTTTAATCTCAATTCAATAATATTTTTGTAGAACTTTTTAATTATTGTTATCAATAATATATATATTTAATAAATGCAATTATTCTCATGGCTTTCTTAGAAAATAGTATAATTAAGTGCATTTACTATTATTATAATCGGTTTAACCTTGTTCGCTTATGGAATTTATATAGTTTCATTAATAATATTCGAAAATTATGATGGTAATATGAAATACAAAGATTAGGATATTTTTAATTTGATTCTGATTTTGGTATGTTTGGTTAAAAGTATGGTGCACTTATAATTGGGATCTCTCTTATTATTATAGGAATTTTTGGAATTTTAGGATCTACAGCTAAAAAAGTATGTTTTTAAAGAGGATTCTTATTCTTTCATCATATAAGTGTATTATTATTTGGAATACTGTTTATTATCTTGTTTTATTTGTTGAATTTCTAAGCAAAAGAATATTTTGGGAAATGTAGAATTAATATAGAATTTAGCATGTGAGTCGACACAAAATTTTAAAGAATTAAGTGACGGTGTTAAAAGTGCTAATGAATCATTTTGTTCTATAAGTTGTCCATGCAATTTAGATCCTACTAAATTTAAAGATAAATCAGTTCTAAAAGGAAAAATCGGATTCTCTAATTCTCTTTTGCCATCTAATGTATAAGATTGCATAGGATTTGATTCTGAGAAATACAAATATCCTATTTAATTAATGAATGTATTCAATATGAATATTTAGATTTTGGAAATGAATTTTTCATGTTCTGGATGGTGTACTAGCACTTCCATTTTTGTTTTTTCAGATATTAATAGAGGTAATACATCAGGTTTGAGTTGTTTCAATAAATTTTAAAATTATTATGAAGATTATGTAACAATTATGGGTTATATTTCTTTGTGTTTGGGTATTTTATTTATATTATCCTTTACTTTTATATTTTGTCTATATTGTGAAAAAGAGAAGTTGAAGAAAAAGAAGGCTTAAGAATTAAGATTGTTATATTAATGATCTAATATATATATATTTAGAATTTTAATATCTACATAAATTATTAAAGATCTTAAATATTCATTTATTAAAAAAACAATATTTGAATATTTAAAAACCAGTTATCAATTTTAATTTTAAGATCTATAAGAGAATTTTAATTATTTTTACTTTTTAAATTTTCTATTCTATATATATATATATATGTCTTTTACAGTTTTTTTTATGAAATAATACTTTATTATAAATAATTTATTTAATTAAATAATATATAATATTAATTAATTAAATCCAAATGAATCACGAAGCCGAAAATGCTCCTTTGATTTAAGAAGAATTTCCTGTTCAATAATCCCATGTATCTGTGCAAGAGTAACCAAAAGTAGTTTCAATCAATAAATTATTCCTTCAAAATACTGCTTAAGCTTTTAGTCCAGGCATGATGATTAGTAAACAAATCTACGTTTTTTCAAGAACTCTAAAAAAGTATTGATTTATATAAATACCTTTTAGATCTATAGAATAGTATAGAAACAATGAGAGAATCTAATTTGTCAAGAATGTCTCATCATCTTTGGAAGAATTCGATGGAGTTTCTTATAGCAATGATGCATTAAATTAAGATTAATCTATCACAGCAAAAGGTTTTAAGTTTTTTGGCAAAGCAATCTCTAAGATTAGAGACACTATTAGAGGAACATAATCACAACAAGAACCATAAGGAAATTAATAATAAAATAGAAATGAATCTCTATTTCCAGAATAAAGTCAAAGGATAGATGAAGAACATATATGAATTTTATAAAATTAAATTTCCCCTAAAATCCCTAATAATCATTATTCTCATTCTAAATATGAAATCAAAAATCGAGAAAATTATAATTATAAATAAAAGACTATTTTTGACTTCATTTGTAATTTATTTACTCATTTTACATTTATTGTTTCAGATCAAATTAATTTTTAGAAGACTTATAATTATCATTAAAACTTGTAATTCTGAAATTCTTGCACATTTATTGAAATATATAATTACTAATGCATTTTACTTCAATAATCTATTAGATTTAGAATTGTACAATAAATCTTTAATTAATAAGTAAATGGATTTCTTAGTTTTGTTATTTTTTCCAATTTTATTAAGATTTTAAACATTTACTTTTTATATCCCAACATTGCAACTGTAAGCAATACATTATAAGATTTCATCAATAATAGGTATATGGTTTATAATGAGTACCTTATTATTGAATGAAAATCAATCTTTAAATATAAAAATATTATAATTAAATCAGATTACATGAATAAGATTAAGTAAAATAAGATAATGAATCTTAGTATTAAAAATATTAAAAGATTAAATAATGTTGATATGGGATTATAGTTAGTTCAACTAAAACTGTTATGGATACATAAAGTAATTTATATACTTCTTTGTTTTTAAACAACTTAATTAAATTGAACATGAATAAAAAATATTCTTTGATGCTTTGACTCAAAAAAAAATTATAATAATTTTTTTGATTAATTAACGCTTTTAAATAATAAGAGTAATATATTAAAAGATATTGGTTAAAATCTATCTTATATAATCTAATTAGATTGAGATTAGCATTTTCAAAATAAAACTTAGTTTTTTTATAATAAAATATTATTATATTGTAGTCTACTAAATTATGAAAAGAGTTTCTTAAATAAATAAAGTGTTGACAAGATTTAAAGGTTTTTAACATTTGCTTATGAGTATTTCATTGAATTAAGTTAAATAAAAAGTGGTTTTCTAGATTTTGATTATAAAAAATTAAATGATTAAACAATATTGGTTGGAATATTAACAATTTACAATAGGGTTTTCTTAAATAATCCTTTCTCGAGACTCTAAATATTTATGGATATTTGTTGAAGTAGTAGGTCATTTTTAAAGATTGGCATTATTGTTCCTATTCAAAGTAATAATTGAAATCCTTCAAGTAAGACTATATAATAAGCAAATTGAAACAACAGATTCTTATTCATTATTTGAATTGATTTCAAAATTGTGTGTTCCATCAATTTTAATTCTTGAAAGTGTGCCTAATTCAGGAATAATTGGATTTTAATTTGTGATAATCCTAATCCTATATGCACCTGTTTGTGTGAATATAATTGCAATGCATAAGGAATACTTTGAATATAGTACAATTAAGCATCGTTCATCAATTGATGAACAAAATAATTTGAATTGTATGAGTTAACTTTTGATTAGATAATCTAACCTTGTTGAATAGATCCTATAATATGCACAATTATATTGAATATTTTATGTAAAAGTAATTGATGGGAAATGAATAGAATTCATTCTAATAACTAGAGAAATTTGTAATGGCTTCTTTATTGAATATATTTCCACATATTTTGGTGATTCCACTAATGGTTTGGAATTTTATTATTTGGCAAATAGTTTTTAGAGATGAAAGTTTAAGTGATACTCTTTATGGATTGATGATATTTTTAAATGTACTTTCAAATATAGGAGCATTATTAGCATGGAATATATCAATGCATATTTAAAAAACATATACAATAAGAGATAATAATCATTTACGATTAGTTCAATCATTCTGGTTTAATCTTTAATAAATCATAATAGTAATTCCAATACTTATTTAATGGTTTTATTTGTTGATTAATCTAGATAATGATTTTGATCAAACATCAACTCATTATTACTTAAATAATACTATAATATTAATATTATAAGTAGGAATATTGATTGAATTCTTCATATGTCATCCTTACATGTAAGATTATAAGGTTTAAACTATCTTAATAGCATTACCATTTACTATTTCAGTCATAATATCATTGTATTTTTAGCATAATCAAATTCAAGTGATTTCAATTGCTTTGATTACAGTCCCTTTATCATCTAGATTATTGAATGAAATCAAAGCATATTTGAATGAAGAGATTTTATACAATTCTCAATACAAAGAAAAATCTGGATCAAGAAGTAGAGCATAATCTAGAACTGGTTTATTGATGGAAGAAGAAGAGTAATTTGTAATTGAAAAGGAAATTAATAAACAAAAATAAGCATAACTTGAATACTTATAGAATATGAATACAAAATATTTTATTCATTATTTGAGATTAGTAGATTTAATGAATCTTGATGATTAATAGTCAATTGAAAAAGATGCTTCTGTCATTAATATAAACAGATCTAAATTTATTTTGAACATAATTGTTTTATTAAAGTAACACATCAATTAATGTGAAAATGTTTATTGTTATTGCAAAGGATTTAGAGGAGAAAAAAGAAAAATAATTGAAAATAATTATCAAAGTTTAGAAATGAGAATATATTATCATATAAAAATATCAAACCTCACTATTTAAGTTGAATTAATTAAAAGATACATTAGACATTATGCAAAATTGATTTTTGAATTAGAAAAAGAAAAAGAAGATTATGATATTATAAGAATAACATAATTACTTACATATTTAAGTAGTTCTGAAGAATGTTATTAAATATTATTATTGATAATGGAAATGAAGGAGAAGATTAAAAATAAGAATCGTATTACTTCATCTGTTGCTATGGCAGTACTTCTTAGTTATACAAAACATTAGATTTTACTTAAAATGAATCCTTAAGTTAAAATTGAAGAAGTTGAGGCTGCTTTATAATATAAAGATTATAGAGTTACTGAAGTCAGAAGAGATAAATTGATTTCAAATATGTTTTTAAATGTCTAAAGAAAATATGAATTCATTAAATAATTGGTGGATAACAAATTTAATTATGAAACCTTATATCAATTATTAAATGACATGGTTAATTACAATTTAGAAATTATAAATAAGATTGAATAATTCAATGAATTCTCTTAATCAAGATCTTCATTATTAATATATATGTTTTATTGTTTAGAAGTTATAAATGATTTTGATAAATTCATACGTTTAAGGAATTAGTTAAAAACCAAAAATTTTAAGTTTTTTGAATATAGTGGTTCTCATAGTTAAAAAGTTTGTTATTTAAAAATTAATTTAGCAAGACATGCAAAAAAAGGTAAAATTTCAAGAGGAGAGATCATTTAATTTTCAAATAATGCTCCTCATATGTTTGGTTATTAATAAAGGGAATTTTAAGAAGAAATCTTAACAGTTCATTAATTAGTTGCACCTCATTTATCAACTATTCATGATTAATTAATGGAAATCTTTCTCTTAACTAATAGACCATTCATTTTAAGGAAGAAGAGAGGACTTTTGGCTTCCAAAAAAAATAAAGATTTATTGTTTGTTGAAATGTTCATTGATGTTTGTTTTAATATAACTGGAGACTTATTTCCTATATATAGTTTCATCAAATAAATATAATCTGATGGTGCTTATGAAAACATTAAAGGACATATATATTTGAATAATGAATTGAAAATAGAAGGAGTCACTACTATGGCACTTGAACAATTTAAATTGAAAGATGGTAAAAGTCTATACAAGATGAAATTGAGTCATCTTATATAAAATCCTAAAAAATACTTAGAACTTTTGAATGAAAAGGAAAAATAATTTTATTAATAAGAATTATAAAGATTAGAATTGAATAGTTGTTCATAATAATTTAATTATTCTGAAACTGAATAATTATTAAATCATTTTTCTGTTACAGCAGAAGATATTTTATTCAGAATACCTAAAGAAAATGGAGTACCAGATATCTTTTGTATTACTTGTAGATTTATTATGACTTTATCAAAAATTAATGGAAAAGAACATAAATCATTTACAGTAGAATTTTTAAAAATTACATTTGCTGATAATATGAGTTAAATTTGGGTAGATTCATCAAGAAATCTTTAATCTAGATCTAGAACAGAAACTAATTTTGAAATTTCATAAAATCATGATCCAATGGATAGTGAATAATAAAAATCACAATCTTAATTTTCTGATAGTGAATAAAGATGTGAATTTTCAAATATTTCAGAAAAATAAGAAAATTAATAATCAATACATTTTCAAGAATA